GAGACAAAGAAGGGAATGGACTGACTATTCTAGGGGGGGAAAGGGGTGTGGGAGATGCGGGAAGAGACTGGAATAAAATCGTGCACCTATGGATGAGGACAGTGGGTGGGGAGTGAGGGCAGAGGGTGGGGCGGGAACTGGGAGGAGGGGAGTTATGGGGGAAAAAAGAGGAACAAATGTAATAATCTGAACAATAAAGATTTAATTTAAAAAAAAGAAAGACAACAAAACTGAGACTCTGAACAACACAATAACAGTGTGCAGCATCTAATAAAAATTACTAAACAGATATTAAGAAAAAATGTGATTCATACCCTAGAGAAAAAGTCAGTGGAAACAGACCTAGAAATGATAGGTGATAAAAATAGCAGATTAGAAAGGTAAATAGTTACATTAACCATTTCCAAAAATTACAAAAAAAGAATGTGATGAGAGAAATGGAAACGTAAGGATTTGATCCCAGTAGAACTGTACAGGTTAAGGATGTTCTGAGGTGAAAGGAAAATGGTACCTGAGAGAAAGTGAGACCTCCATAAAAGAATTGTTTTCAGGGAAGTTTCTCCCAGCCTTTCTCGGTGATTCAGACAGTCAGTACCAGGAGAAATTGATACAGTCATATGGCCTGACTCTTTACCTGCAGAGAACCACGTAATTAAAACTTCCTAAGACAAAATTGTGATTGAATGTTTACATAATTGAAGATGGTTGGTTATTAATATTTCTCCCGCAAGAGGTATAGTTGATAGTCCTTGACTTATTCTCACATGCCCCATAATGCCATGTTACTCTTATGTACATGGAAAATACTAAGAAAGACCTGTTAATTTCCTTATGAAATCCTTTGTCGTTTTTTATTAAAATAGCAAGCCCTATTTTTCATTAATAAAATTCATAATTTTTTTCTATTGCCTGTCAACCAAAATTGAATTCCACAGTTTAGATCCTAGTCATCTGTTTTTGCCAAAGTCCTAGAAAATATTTTGAGGAAAATATAAAATTCATGTTTATTTTGTTATTGGGATCTAAAAATTATTTCCATAATTAAGATGGGAATAAAATTATTTGTAACAATACCACTATTCAGCAAAGTAGTTTAACTCCTGGTGTGGGTTTTTTGTTTTTCTAAAACTCAATGCCTTAAACATTTGGCACAGAGGAAGCAAATGGAAAATAATTTTAGGTTGTTAGAATGACCTCAGCTACCTTCCATAGAGGCACATTTTACTCTGTTACTTGTTTTTTATTGTACCATTCATTCATTTTCTTTGCTAGACATTTTGATTTCACCTCCTAGACCCCCCTCTGCTTGTGCACATTTTTCCCACCTGTTTCTTAATATCTATTGGAATACAGTAAGCATTAAAGTGACAGTTCATTCTAATGCTGCATATAGGAGATATTTGATATTATAGAAAAAGTGTGTTACATATTCTCTTGTAATTTTCTAATGTTGAATAATTATATTTTGTATTAAAATACAAAGTATTACAGTTCTTTATACCAGTTACAGGGAATGGTTAGCTAGAAGAGAACTTTAAAAGAGCTGCAGAATCTAAGAGTGGGTGTCACAACAAATTTTAAATAGGAGTGTATATATATATATATATAGAGAGAGAGAGAGAGAGAGAGAGAGAGAGAGAGAGAGAGAGAGAGAGAGAGAGAGAGAGAGAGAGAGAGAGAGAGAGAGAGAGAGAGAGAGAGAGAGAGAGAGAGAGAGAGAGAGAGAGAGAGAGAGAGAGAGAGAGAGAGAGAGAGAGAGAGAGAGAGAGAGAGAGAGAGAGAGAGAGAGAGAGAGAGAGAGAGAGAGAGAGAGAGAGAGAGAGAGAGAGAGAGAGAGAGAGAGAGAGAGAGAGAGAGAGAGAGAGAGAGAGAGAGAGAGAGAGAGAGAGAGAGAGAGAGAGAGAGAGAGAGAGAGAGAGAGAGAGAGAGAGAGAGAGAGAGAGAGAGAGAGAGAGAGAGAGAGAGAGAGAGAGAGAGAGAGAGAGAGAGAGAGAGAGAGAGAGAGAGAGAGAGAGAGAGAGAGAGAGAGAGAGAGAGAGAGAGAGAGAGAGAGAGAGAGAGAGAGAGAGAGAGAGAGAGAGAGAGAGAGAGAGAGAGAGAGAGAGAGAGAGAGAGAGAGAGAGAGAGAGAGAGAGAGAGAGAGAGAGAGAGAGAGAGAGAGAGAGAGAGAGAGAGAGAGAGAGAGAGAGAGAGAGAGAGAGAGAGAGAGAGAGAGAGAGAGAGAGAGAGAGAGAGAGAGAGAGAGAGAGAGAGAGAGAGAGAGAGAGAGAGAGAGAGAGAGAGAGAGAGAGAGAGAGAGAGAGAGAGAGAGAGAGAGAGAGAGAGAGAGAGAGAGAGAGAGAGAGAGAGAGAGAGAGAGAGAGAGAGAGAGAGAGAGAGAGAGAGAGAGAGAGAGAGAGAGAGAGAGAGAGAGAGAGAGAGAGAGAGAGAGAGAGAGAGAGAGAGAGAGAGAGAGAGAGAGAGAGAGAGAGAGAGAGAGAGAGAGAGAGAGAGAGAGAGAGAGAGAGAGAGAGAGAGAGAGAGAGAGAGAGAGAGAGAGAGAGAGAGAGAGAGAGAGAGAGAGAGAGAGAGAGAGAGAGAGAGAGAGAGAGAGAGAGAGAGAGAGAGAGAGAGAGAGAGAGAGAGAGAGAGAGAGAGAGAGAGAGAGAGAGAGAGAGAGAGAGAGAGAGAGAGAGAGAGAGAGAGAGAGAGAGAGAGAGAGAGAGAGAGAGAGAGAGAGAGAGAGAGAGAGAGAGAGAGAGAGAGAGAGAGAGAGAGAGAGAGAGAGAGAGAGAGAGAGAGAGAGAGAGAGAGAGAGAGAGAGAGAGAGAGAGAGAGAGAGAGAGAGAGAGAGAGAGAGAGAGAGAGAGAGAGAGAGAGAGAGAGAGAGAGAGAGAGAGAGAGAGAGAGAGAGAGAGAGAGAGAGAGAGAGAGAGAGAGAGAGAGAGAGAGAGAGAGAGAGAGAGAGAGAGAGAGAGAGAGAGAGAGAGAGAGAGAGAGAGAGAGAGAGAGAGAGAGAGAGAGAGAGAGAGAGAGAGAGAGAGAGAGAGAGAGAGAGAGAGAGAGAGAGAGAGAGAGAGAGAGAGAGAGAGAGAGAGAGAGAGAGAGAGAGAGAGAGAGAGAGAGAGAGAGAGAGAGAGAGAGAGAGAGAGAGAGAGAGAGAGAGAGAGAGAGAGAGAGAGAGAGAGAGAGAGAGAGAGAGAGAGAGAGAGAGAGAGAGAGAGAGAGAGAGAGAGAGAGAGAGAGAGAGAGAGAGAGAGAGAGAGAGAGAGAGAGAGAGAGAGAGAGAGAGAGAGAGAGAGAGAGAGAGAGAGAGAGAGAGAGAGAGAGAGAGAGAGAGAGAGAGAGAGAGAGAGAGAGAGAGAGAGAGAGAGAGAGAGAGAGAGAGAGAGAGAGAGAGAGAGAGAGAGAGAGAGAGAGAGAGAGAGAGAGAGAGAGAGAGAGAGAGAGAGAGAGAGAGAGAGAGAGAGAGAGAGAGAGAGAGAGAGAGAGAGAGAGAGAGAGAGAGAGAGAGAGAGAGAGAGAGAGAGAGAGAGAGAGAGAGAGAGAGAGAGAGAGAGAGAGAGAGAGAGAGAGAGAGAGAGAGAGAGAGAGAGAGAGAGAGAGAGAGAGAGAGAGAGAGAGAGAGAGAGAGAGAGAGAGAGAGAGAGAGAGAGAGAGAGAGAGAGAGAGAGAGAGAGAGAGAGAGAGAGAGAGAGAGAGAGAGAGAGAGAGAGAGAGAGAGAGAGAGAGAGAGAGAGAGAGAGAGAGAGAGAGAGAGAGAGAGAGAGAGAGAGAGAGAGAGAGAGAGAGAGAGAGAGAGAGAGAGAGAGAGAGAGAGAGAGAGAGAGAGAGAGAGAGAGAGAGAGAGAGAGAGAGAGAGAGAGAGAGAGAGAGAGAGAGAGAGAGAGAGAGAGAGAGAGAGAGAGAGAGAGAGAGAGAGAGAGAGAGAGAGAGAGAGAGAGAGAGAGAGAGAGAGAGAGAGAGAGAGAGAGAGAGAGAGAGAGAGAGAGAGAGAGAGAGAGAGAGAGAGAGAGAGAGAGAGAGAGAGAGAGAGAGAGAGAGAGAGAGAGAGAGAGAGAGAGAGAGAGAGAGAGAGAGAGAGAGAGAGAGAGAGAGAGAGAGAGAGAGAGAGAGAGAGAGAGAGAGAGAGAGAGAGAGAGAGAGAGAGAGAGAGAGAGAGAGAGAGAGAGAGAGAGAGAGAGAGAGAGAGAGAGAGAGAGAGAGAGAGAGAGAGAGAGAGAGAGAGAGAGAGAGAGAGAGAGAGAGAGAGAGAGAGAGAGAGAGAGAGAGAGAGAGAGAGAGAGAGAGAGAGAGAGAGAGAGAGAGAGAGAGAGAGAGAGAGAGAGAGAGAGAGAGAGAGAGAGAGAGAGAGAGAGAGAGAGAGAGAGAGAGAGAGAGAGAGAGAGAGAGAGAGAGAGAGAGAGAGAGAGAGAGAGAGAGAGAGAGAGAGAGAGAGAGAGAGAGAGAGAGAGAGAGAGAGAGAGAGAGAGAGAGAGAGAGAGAGAGAGAGAGAGAGAGAGAGAGAGAGAGAGAGAGAGAGAGAGAGAGAGAGAGAGAGAGAGAGAGAGAGAGAGAGAGAGAGAGAGAGAGAGAGAGAGAGAGAGAGAGAGAGAGAGAGAGAGAGAGAGAGAGAGAGAGAGAGAGAGAGAGAGAGAGAGAGAGAGAGAGAGAGAGAGAGAGAGAGAGAGAGAGAGAGAGAGAGAGAGAGAGAGAGAGAGAGAGAGAGAGAGAGAGAGAGAGAGAGAGAGAGAGAGAGAGAGAGAGAGAGAGAGAGAGAGAGAGAGAGAGAGAGAGAGAGAGAGAGAGAGAGATTTTTTATAAGGAATTGGCTCATTTTATTGTGGAGGCTGAGAAGTCCCACCATTTTGCTGTTTGCAAACTAGAGACCCAAGAAAGCCAGTGGCATTTCAATCTGAGTGTGAAGACCTGAGAACCAGGAGCAGCCAGCGCAGAAATATTCATGTCCCAACTCAAGTAATCAGCAGGGAGGGAAGAATTCTTTTCTCTACCTTTTTACTATTCAGACCCTCAGCGGACTGACTGCTGTCCACCCACATTGTGGTGGGCAGACTCCTTTACTGAGTTCCCATTCAAATGCTAATTTCATCCAGAAATGATGTTTAGCCAGACATCTGGGCATCTTGTGATTCAATAAAGTTGACAGAATTAACCATCCCATAAGGATTGCTTAAACCTCTAGCACTGTGAAGTACTTAGAGTAATGGGCCATAATCTATTCAACGTACTCAAATGTGCCAATAAAAAATGGATAGACTTTGTGCACATGTATGCATACATAGTAAAAGTTTGAAAGAGGGCACCTAAGCTAGTTACACTGTTACCAAGACAGTAGCTGTTACTTAACAAGTGTATATAGCCCTCACTCATCTGCCACCTAGGCATCTAATGCAGTTGTGGAAGAAAATAAACTATTAACACTTAGTATGTTTTCTTAAAGATAGGTGCCGAATATGATATCCTAACTATTTGGAAAGAAGAATATACCAGTAAACCTGTTCTAACTGGGGAAAGGAAAAAATGAAAGGCTTAAAATGAAAGACATTTTGATACAAGTGTTGAAGTTTGAAACTTAAGGTTCTTTTTTTCTGTGACTATCTCTTAGCTAAAATCTGTACTTTTCATAATGCCAGGGTTCTTGTTCTAGCATCTAGAAGGGTTCAGCAATCTGGAGAAGGGCTGTGTGTAACTCAATAAGCAATCTGGAGAAGGGCTGTGTGTAACTTAATATTTGAGTCCAGAGATGAAACATAATTTTGAAAGGCATTTGGGGGTCAGAGGAGCCTAGCTAAAGAAACTAAGATCTCCTCCTCTCAGGACCCCATGCTTTTTATTAACACAATTTGTCCTGAGGCTAGGCAGAGCTATACACATCAAAGGGTCAGGTTTCATTTACAGAGTCCATTGTCAGATTGGAAGAATTTGCCTACGGCTGTTCAGGTGTTTGGCCAGTAGGAGGCAATAACATGTAGATTAAGACGCCCTGAGCTGTCTGGCAGCAAGCAGTCATCCCTTTTGCAGTGGTTCTCAACCTTCCTAAGGCCGTGACCCTTTAATACAGTTTCTCATATTGTGGTGACCCCCAATCTCCGTGTTACAAATTGAACATAATTAAAGCATAGTGATTAATCACAAAAACAATATGTAATTATATATGTGTTTTCTGATGGTCTTAGGCAATCCCTGTGAAAGGGTCGTTCGACTCACACAGGGGTCGCAGCCCACAGGTTGAGAGTCAGTGCTTTTCAGGATTAGGGACAATGCCTTTAGCCATTCCCAACAGGTGACAACATATGTGACTCAGCCCTTGTTGAGTCCCCAAGTTTCATCAACCTTTTGATGAAACTCTTGCAATTATGGCATGCTGGAATGCCAGGGTCCAGTCCCAGCAGGTCCAGGGGTCCCCAGGTCCCTTGAAAGAGCAAGGATGGACCGGCTCCCAGCACTGGAACTGGCTTCTGGCATCATAATAAGAGCATAGCAGATTTGCTTCAGTTCTTTGGTAAAAAGTGGTAATAATCAAGTTTTGACAGCTTTCTGTACACTTTTCTTAGGTCATTGGTGGCTTTGTCATTAATATTGTCCATGCTCCTCTTCAAACCTGCTCCAATTTACATCCTGGATGAAGTCGATGCAGCCCTGGATCTTTCTCACACCCAGAACATTGGGCAGATGCTGCGTACTCATTTCACACATTCTCAGGTAAGAACCAGACAGAATGTCATCATTTTAAAAAGGATAAAGGAAGTCTGAGTATTAGTATTTGTTTTTCTAAAACTATTCTTTAGTAGTGCTCACCATTAATAAGATATAAGATTGAGGAATACTAAAGCATTGTATATTTCTTTAAATATTTATTAATATCAGATGGGTTTAGAATGAAAGAGTTGAGTTTGGTCTCCTATTAAAGAAAAAGTCAGACATTACAATTGTTGTAGCATGAAGGAGAATCTAATATTTTTCTAGTTAGGAATTAATTTAGTTTTAAATGTAATTATTTTTCTAGATAGCTGCCAGATGTGCAGTCAGAACAAACATGTTTCAGAGATATATACCTAGGTATCAGAACATCATGTGGCACTTGGTAGGGTATTCTTTATTTCTCCTGGCTAGACAGTAGAGGCAGCCCCTTTAAGTTAAGAACCGTTTGTTAGTGTTGAACTGGGGCTGCCAAATATGGTTTATAGATCATGCATTATACAACTCGGGTCTTCACTTACCATAGTTATCATAGACTATTTATTATGGCAGTTATTTGCAGACAACAGTGAATTGGTACCTATTAATTATAAAAATATAAATGTTCCATTTGAGCTCGTGGAATGCTGTAGGAACTTCAGACCTTGGTAGTATTAAAATATTTCACTGGGGCATTTAGAGCTAACAACAAAATAGTTGTCAGCTACAGAAGACCAACAAGCTGTCAAGCATCAGGAAATGTAAACCTGGATAACGAAGCCATCAAGGTAAAATTAAGAGGCTCTTAAAACGAATATGAAAAGCTAGAATAAGCTTAGATGTCTATTATTATAACTAGTTGCTACCTACATTTGAGGGTGTGAGTTTAAAGAATCAAAATATTTCCAAATAATTATTTAACCTCATTAGTTTTAAAAAGTGAACTTCTTTAAGAATATAATAAAAAGTATCTTTTATGTTTTCTATTTCCCTTTAGTTCATTGTGGTGTCCCTAAAGGAAGGTATGTTCAACAATGCAAACGTCCTTTTCAAAACCAAGTTTGTGGATGGTGTTTCCACAGTAGCCAGATTTACTCAGTGTCAGAATGGAAAGGTCCCAAAGGAAACCAAGGCCAAGGCGAAAGGACCCAAGTGATCACATGTGGAAGTTTAAAGTATGAATTTACTTCTTCACCTTGACCTGCTTTTTAAACAGACTTTTTAAGAACCTGGGATTTATCTCGTTTGTTTATATAAAGATTTAATGTTTTTTATTACTTGATCCATAGTTTCTCTTCCCTTATATAATCACTTATAAATGAACATGATTTCTCTTTTCTTAACTATGGTCCAATTACTGTGATTTTATGCATGTCATCAATTATTTTTCTTACACAGGTCTTGTAGAGTAGGGAGCCTGAGATACCTGTTTGGTGGGAAATTCCGTTTGTAAAAACAAAAATACAAAGAAACAGGTAAAATTAGCTTATGGGATAAATATAGCTGATAATCAGCTTTTAGTTTAATTCCTAAGATAATATTAATGTATTTTCTATTGCTAATAAAGTCATTAGGTAAGGAAGAATAAAAAAGCAAGGATCTGGACCAACAACGGGAACACAGAGCAAAGTGTTAGGCACATTCTGAGCTATTTGTGGTTAGTTCCTTGAGAACACAATGCTAGATCCCTGATTCAGACTCAAACGACAGAAATCAAGTCCTATTTCCCATTTTGTGATGTTTGAATATCATGTTTCTAGATGCTCAGTAATTGATCTGTACATGCGTACATTTTTAAAAAACCTTTATAAATATTTCTGTAGGAGTTTAGGAGAAAGGTGTGTTGCTTGCTGCTCTCTGGTGCAAGTTTATCTGAAGTCTCCCAATACTTCTGTCAGCCTTTTCATAATCTAATCAATAACAATCTATTGTTGGATGTGAATGTAGAAGCCAACAGACCAAATAAAATTTACCTTTTTCTTCAGTCTAAGATATTTGTAAGTAAATTAGATCCATCTGTTCAACCAAAAAAAACTCAAAATTTGATTGTTTCTTAGTGCCTTCTACTCTCCAGTTCAAAAGATTGTGCTGACAACCTAAGAATAGTTGTTAGTGTCTATGGGTATATTAACACCAGTGTCCCCAAACTCTGAATCTTGAAAGCTCTGACATGATCTCATCTGATCTTGGATATATTATTTTGATCCCACATCCCTTCATGTTTCAGTTCTAATTCCTTTGTTTTCCCTTTCCCTAATATATGCTCATACTTCTTGGCCATGGGTTTAATATTTTTCATTCTTCATTTTTATACATATGAGGAGGTCAGATAGCACTCAGGTAACTGATATTATGGGATACCTTGAAAAGGATTGAATCTGGAATTAGTCCTGACTACTGTGGGAGGTTAGGAGAGTACTAGTAAATGCTGAGTTACAGGAAGCCCAATATCACATAGAACAGACATAAGAAAATTTTTATTTTCTCTCAAATGCATTGCAAATTATTTGCCAAAACAGTTTACACTGTCACAATATAGTATACCTGTTGGCCACAGACTAGTCAGCAAGGCTGTTAATTTTAATAACTTACTAGTTATAAAATGGCACTTCATTGTTATTTAACTAGTATTGTGTAAATAACCCGTGGGGTGAGTATTGTTGCCATGTGTACTAATTTTCTTTCCTTTGCTACAAATTATCTATTTGTTTGCTTTCCTAATTTTTGTCATTTGCTCTTTGATGAAAATCCTCAAACATTAAAATTTTGTAAGTAATGTTGTCATTCTTTGATTAGAGGGAGGACATTAAGGGGGATGGGGACATTATTTCATACATCTGCAATAATATGAGTAACTAATATTTATTGAGCTCTATCTATACATTAGACACTATTCTCACATGCACATATTTTCATTTTTAATCCATTAATGACCCAGTGGAGTCAGTACTGTTGTTGTCAGGATTATATAATTGAGGAAACTGAATTGAGCTGAGAAGTTAAACTTGCCCACAGTGATAACACAGGTCAGTGGCAGCGCCAAGATACCAATGCTGGCAGTTGGTCTCCAGAATCTATGAGGTCCTACTGCCTGACAGCCTGAACATTTGTATTTGTACGTAACACATTTAAAAGGTACCTACATGAGCAGGATGTATAACGTGAATTATCTAGAGGAAGAATCTCAAATGTTTGAAGACAGTTTTTTAGTTTTAGCGTTTCAAGTACACTAACAACAAATGCAAAAGAACAGACTTGAGGATCCCTCTTCCAATGTGGTACTCAAATGTTTGAAGACAGTTTTTTAGTTTTAGCATTTCAAGTACACAACAAATGCAAAAGAACAGACTTGAGAACCCCTCTTCCAATGCGGTGGGGTTCCCACAGTCATGTCAGCTTCAGTCAGGGCAGCTTTATTTCTTTTTTATCATGTAACTTCTTTATAGCCCGTTACTATTACGAATTAGCTTGCTCAATTTCTTTACTATTAAACCAGCCTTGTGTCCTGGGAATAACCCCCACTTGCTCCTGTTGTCTAGTAGTTCTTTTTATGTATTGCTGGATTCAATTTGCTAATAATTTAGTCCTGACACTTATGTTTTCATAAGTGGCATTGGTCTGTAGGCTTTTTTTTTTCCTTGCGGCCTTTATTTGGTTCCAGGGTAATGAATTGGGATATGTTTTTAATTTTTTGGAGTGTATTTAACTTTCAATTACAATGGGGATTTTCCAGGTAGTTTTTTCTTAACTGATTGTTAGTTTAATTTTATTATGGTCAGGGTATGTCATTTTAATTTTTTAAAAATTAGAAAGTGATAGATTTAAATGCTTCTCTTAGAAAACAATGAGGTACAAATTCAGTGGTCTAAGGTTTTACTTTAAGCTATATCTTTAAGGTAAGAACAAAGTAAACCCAAATGAAATAGATGGAAATAAAGGGTAGAAATCAGCAACATGTAAACAAAAACAGTGGAGAGAAAAAAAAAATCAATGAAACCAACCCCTACTTCTCAAAAGAGCAACAAAATTGGAATATTTCTAATTTGACCAAGTAAACCAGAGAGATTAGAAATTACTAGTATCAGGAATGAAATTAGAGTTGCCACTATGGATCCTTACCTAAAGGATACAAAATCATGACCATTTTTTATGCCAATAAATTCAATAATTTGGACAAGATTGAAAAACTATTAGAAAAATAAAACTCACCAAAATTGGCACAAGGATATAGAAAACCCGAATAGCCTCACATCTGTTAATGCAGTTGAAAATTATCTTCCAACAAAGAGAACTCCAATATTATATGGTTTTACTTGTTAATTTTACCATTCAAGGAAGAAATAACAGTGTTACACGAAGTCTTACAGAAAACAGATGGAGAGGGAATACCTCCAACTTGTTTTGAGACCACTGTTACTCCAATACAAAACTTGACAAAGACATTACAAAACAAAATCATAGGGCTGTAGTCCGCAAACAAAAATTCTGAAAATATTAGCAAATTGAATCTAACATCATCTTTAAAAGATAAGCCATTTTCAAGTTGTTTTCAACAGATGGTACTGACATATTTACGCAGAGAAACAGACACTGACCCTTCACACACGTGTAAAGGCATCACAGCACAAACTACTGGTAGAACTGTGCCGTTTTCACGGTCGTGTATCCGAATATTTTTGAATGGCAGTTTCACTTCAGAGTGTCTGGTGGAACTGTACAAATTATTTTTTATATCAACTTGCTAAGTACATGGCTTTAATAATTGGAATGACAAAATGGGAATTATGTCTAAGCACTTCTGCATACCAAATCATGATGTGTATTTTGCAAAAATGTAATTATGTCACTTGGGGTCTGAAGTATCCACTTCTTTACTTTTCCCCACAGAATACCATTTTTACTTGAACATAAGACTAAGATAAATATGGTTATTAAGTCAATAGTATTTGGTAGACATTTCTCAAAACTGAACAAAAGTCAGTCTGCCATAAGAACCTGACATATCTGTTGCAAGTAAGAAAATTATAGCTTTCAAGTGAAAATTAGAATTTTGGCAAGCTTGTATTCATCATTGTGAACTTGACATCTTCTCAATACTTAAAAGACTTTTCTTGCCCTGGTGGTGTGGCTCAGTGGTTGAGCATCAGCCCATGCACCAGGAGGTTGCAGGTTTGACTTGGTCAGGGCATATGCCCAGGTTGTGTGCTCGATCCCCAGCAGGGCGTGTGCAGGAGGTAGCCAATAGCTGTTGATGTTTCTCTCTCCATGTTTCTATCTCTCCCTTTCTCATTTTCTCTAATAAAAACAGTTTAAAAAAAAAAGCTTTTCTCATAACTGGTAGTAATAGTAACAGGGTTTTTAAATATTGTATTATGAAATGTGTTAACATTTTGAAGATCTGCTTCACATGGTGAATGGTATTTTCCACCCTCCAATGTGCAATGCTAGAAAATCCCGCCTGGGTGAAATAGCCATTATAAGTATAGTGAAGATCAACGGGTTTTAATGTTAGAGTATGAGAACCTCATTGGTATGGTTCAGATTCCACTTTGCAACTAACTCTTAAGAAGCTATTGTCTCATTTTGTTCTTAGTATCAAGAAAGAATATTAAATTATCTAATACTATACATTCTCAACTACACATTCTCAACTCTGGATGGGAAACTAGGAAGTGGCTGGGGCAGTGGGCACTTGGGCAGGATTTAAACTCAGACTGGCTGAAGAGCCCGTACTCTTAGCCATGATAGCAAGCTCCGAGTTAGGTACACTCTAGGGTTTGTGCCTGGAGCTGAGATAGCATTCCCATTATGCCTTGCATAGACCCTGATCATGCATGGGCGGGAGCAAGGAGAGAGAGATTTAAATACATTGTAGAGAAAAAGGTTGCAGTTTAGTTCTAAGGCTCATGCTAGTGGATCATTTTATGCCAATCTGGTGAGATAGTATGGCAACTAATCCTTAAACTTCAGAATGGTAAGAAGCTGTCCTTTTCTTGCCTCCAGTTAAAGACCAGTGTTTTCTTCAATGAATTGAGAATTTACATGTCCTTACAAGACAATCTTTTTTATGTGGTTTATAAGATGAGCTTTGTTACTTGATGGCCACTAAGCATTTTCTAAAGTTCTCTCGAACTTGAAGCTCATTCTTGCTCCATTCTGTGTATTGGACCTAGTGCACATTACTACCTGTTCAAACAGAATGGCATTCTAAACTCTCCAATCTCCCACTTTGTGGAGTCCCATTTTAAAATTAAGTGCCTTTATGGAACCTATATTCCACTCAGTCTGCAACAGTGGCCACTCTGAACACAGCTTTGTCTCTACAGTCAATGCTAAAGTCACTCTATTCCATTCCTAGCAACAGTGTGCCCATCCTTAAAGGATCTACTCAAAAGTCACCACCTCTTCGGGTCCTTCTGTGTCCACCCCTTTGCATAAGGCACCAAGTATTCCATAACTGTAGTAACTGAACATGTGTCTTAGTTCTAATAAACAGCTGAGTGTGTCTTTTTAGAGCCCATACCATAGCCTATTAATCCCTTCATCTCAAAGATTATTTGCTTAATAAATGAGCAGGATCATAAAAATTAAACATGGAACAGACCATGGTACTTAGTTCATGTACCACACTGGATTAGCAAACTGACTAGAAGGAGAATGTTGACCTGAAAAGTCACTATTAGGATTTTGTCTTATACCCGCGGTAGTAAAAGTCTCTCGGTAAAAATTTAAAAGCAAAGACCTCATGCTGGATTTTTTCCTCCAAAGAATTAAAGCAATCAATGTCCTATTACATACATTCTATCCAGTACTTCCTATTTTTATAGGCATGAAAATTATGTAAATTGTCTAAACTTGTGCTCCAAAGTTCAGGTTTTGATTTCACATCTTTCAACTTTAATCAAGGACAAAATTTTACTCCCTTGTATGCTCTTATTTTCTTTGTCTAAGGTTAATTGACAGATGTGGGTTTCGTTGGGGCTTTATTCT